ACTTCGTTCGTTTTCGAACCTGATTACGAGTAAAAGTGCTTTAAAAAAAAAAAAGAAAAGAAAAACAGACAAAAACCGTTTTTTAAAAAAAAAAAAAATGTGACAAGAAGCTAAGTCTCAAAAGCTTCTTGGGATAAAAATTATAACCTTGTCCGACACTTGAGGCAAAAACAAAGAACACAAGACATGAAATGGTCAAGGCCTGAAGTGAACGTCAACGGCCCTCATCGCACCTCGGCATCCGGGCGCCTGGAACTGCCCTAGACTCTGGAAAGGTAGTGATTTGGAGACGAGAGAAGAGAAAGGGGAAGAGCCCGCTGCGGGAGACGTCCCCTGGTGTCCCCTGCCTCAGCTTTGCTTCCCCATCTGCTGGATTCGCAGCAGAAATAAAGAGCAGAGAGAGATTCGAGGCGCAGCAAACCGCTCCTCTCCGCACCGCTGCGAGGCTGGCCGAGTTCCTAAAGGGCCCTGAAGAGAGGTGCCTCCAGCCAACCCCCCAGTCCCCCAGACCTTGCCTGGGACCCAGGACAGCAGGGTCGCACCCTCCTACCCCATGACAGGCACCCACGTGGCCATGATGGCAGCCCGTGGTCTTTGCACGGACCAAATAGCAAGGAACGGGCTGCTCTGGCGGGAGGCGGTGCTGGAGTTGGTCTCTTGCCGCGGGTCCCGGCGGTGCGCACCAGCTCGGGAGGCAGGGAGGCCTCTAAGCGCCTCCTCCAGGCAGCCCGGGTGCGGAGGGCGGAGTCTGCGGGGCTGGGGCCGAAGCAGAGGCCGGGACGGGCCCCCCGTGGGCATCAGTTCTGGGACCCGGGGCCTGCGTGGAGCCGGGCCTGAAGTCTGAGCCTGCAGCCGGGTGCGCGTAAGCCGGGGCTCGGCTCCGCATCCGGACAAGGCAAAGGTTCGGGGTCTGGAGCCTGAGTCTGGGGCTGAGGCCACGCGGGGAGGTCCGAGCCGCGGGCCGGGATCGAGTCCGCATCACGCAGAGATCGGGGTCCAAGCCAAGTCCCGAGGCTGAGTCCTGAGCTGAGGTAGGGACCAGGGTCGGGATCTGAGTCCCCATCCCGGTCAGGGTCCGCGCGGCGGTCCGGGTTGGAGTCCGAGTCCAAGCCAAGGTCCGGGTCCTGGGTGCTACTCAGTGGTTGCGTTGAACCAGGGCCGAGGCCCGAGCTGTAGTCCGGGCCCGAGTCCGTGTCCGTGTCCGAGCCGGCATCCAAGTCCATGTCCAGGTCCGACTCCGTGTCCCGGGCCGGGGTCCGAGACGCGGTCTGAGCGAGATTCAAGTCCGAGCCGCTGTCAGACATTGGAGTCGGATCCGCGATCTGAGGTTTGTAGTCGGAGCTGTGATCCGACATTGGGATCCGATCCGCGGTCCGAGATTTGGGGTCGGAGCGGCGATCCGACATTGGGGTCTGATTCACGATCCAAGTTTTGGGGCCCAATCTGCGATCCAAGGTTTGGGGGCCCGATCCCCGATCCGAGGTTTGGGGTCGAGGCGCGCGATCCGACATTGGGGTTTGAGCTGCGATCCGAGTTTTAGGGTCCGATCCGCGATCCGAGATTTGGGGCCGATCCGCGATCCGAGGTTTGGGGTCGAAGCGTGATCCGACATTGAGATCGGAGCCGCAATCCAAGATTTGGGGTCCGATCCACGATCAGAGGTTTGGGGTCCGATCTGCGATCCGACGTTGGGGTCGGAGCCGCGATCCGAGGTTTGGAGTCAGAGCCGCGATCTGACATTGGGGGCGGATCTGCGATCCGAGGTTTGGGGTCCGATCTGCGATCCGACATTCGGGTCAGATCCGCGATCCGAGGGTGGGGGTGCGAACCGCGATCCAAGGTTTGTGGTCGAGCCGTGATCCGACATTGGGGTCGGAGCCGTGATCCGAGGTTTGGGGTTGAGCCGTGACTCAAGGTTTGGAGTCGGAGCCGCGGTCGGACATTGGGTTCAGAACCGCGATCCGAGGTTTGGGATCGAGCCGTGATCCGACGTTGGGGTCGGAGCCGCGATCCGAGGTTTGGGGTCGGAGCCGTGATCTGAGGTTTGGGGTCGAGGCGCGATCCGACATTGGGGTCAGAACCGCGATCTGAGGTTTGAGGTCGAGCCGTAATCCGACATTGGGGTCGGAGCCGCGATCCGAAGTTTGGAGTCGGAGCCGTGATCCTAGGTTTGGGGTCCAATCCGCGATCCGAGGTTTGGGGTCCGATCCGCGACTCAAGGTTTGGAGTCGGAGCCGCAATCCGAGGTTTGGGGCGGATCCGCGATCCGAGATCCAAGGTTTGAGGTCGGAGCCGCGATCCGACATTGGGGTCCGATCCACCGTCCGCGGTTTGGCGTCTGAGCCGCGATCCCAGGTTGGGGTCCCGGCCGAGTCCATTTCCGGGTCCGAGCTGCGGTCTGGGGTCCGAGTCCGTGTTCGGGACTGAACCCGGGTCCAGGTCCGGGGTCCGAGTCTGTGCGCGTGCTTAAGGGTCCGAGTCTGGGGCCTGGCACGGGCTGGGTCAGCGGCTGCGGCACGTGCCCCAATTAGCCTCGGGCGGGCGGTGGCGGGGCAGCCCCATTGTGGACGAACAAAGGGCGCGACCCTGGGGTCAGGGAGTCGCAGGCCGGTCTGCAGCAGCTTTGTTCACCCGCTCTGTTTACTTTGCCGGAGCGAAGCACACAATATATTGACTAAAGCGGATTAGAGGGTTGCGCAGTGGAAGCCGCCGGACCTCCCAGCCCGGGGCCTCCCCGGCGGGCCATCCGATAGCGCGCAGACACCTTCCCGCTGGGTCAGCGCCCCGGGCCGCTCCCACCTCCGGGCAGCCGGGGAAACTGAGGCTGCACCCGCCTTGCCTGCCGGGGTTCACAGCGCGTGCGGGCAGCCCTGGTCCTGGAGCCCGCTCTGCAGGTGGCCGGTGGGTCCCCGCGGCCCCAGCCCACCTGCATCATAAAAAAAGGGGGGCGCCCCCCCCCCCCCGGAGCCCTCGCCCGGCCTTCGAGCCAACCGGGACGTTGTGTTATTTTCCGACTCCGCAATTTAAAGATTGTACCTTTCGCAACACCGCTGGTCCTGGGAACTCATTTTACCGGGAAGAAAACGGCACTTAGTTGAAGGCAGAAATATTTAGGTGGAAACACGGACAGATTTTTCCGTATCACAAAATCCTGTAGCATTATAGTTAGAAAAGAAAATTCCTGCCTCTCGTCCTGACAAACAATGCCCCCCTGTCTGTGTAGCAGCAGGCGAGGTAAGAACGCAGAATAATATTCTGAGATATAGAAGTCCTGGAAAGTACAGCTGGGAAATAATTATGTTTTCTTTCTTTCTTTTTTTTTAAAGAAGGCAAATGATGCATATAAATAAACCACGAAGATTTTCACTCAAAGACCACAGTTTACCATCCGGTATTATGAATTCAAGATCTTTAGACTCCTCTGATCGGAACTCGCAGGATCTTTTTAAATTGCCTTTAAAACCTAAGCAGTAGACCCGAAAAGCGTGAACTCAAATCCAGCACGGAGTCTAAGCGCGGGAGGGTGGTCATCCCACCAAGTACCCAAGAAGGAGAAAACGCCCTTTTCCCCTTCTGCTCTTGTTGAAGAGACAAAAATACTTCTCCTTAAGTTCACACAAAATCTTGAGATTTTTTTTTTGCCCTGGTTGTGCAATTATGTATTAGTGTTTGATTAATAAGCTATCGATGGACCGATCTTCTATAAGAGAACGAATAATATTAACTAACTATGTATAGTTGTTGGCCTAACGAATATTTCTGCTATGTGCCATCTATCCACAACTATTGAAGGAATATATGCCTTTGGTTTATATTTCTACTCATAAGCCGTTAAAAAAAGTTTTTTTTCCTGCTTATAAAAATGTCATGTGTTTTGAGAAGGCACAGTAAAGTCTAAAGTATAAGTAAAGAGTAAAATATAAATACAGATATTTAAGACAGAGATTATTTAAGTAGTGAGTATAAAATATAAATAATTCAAGTATAAAAATACATGGAAAAGGGAAATTTCACCTACATGCCATTATCCAGAAATAATTCTATTGTATATCTTTTCCAACAGTTGACATAAGCACAAAATTACATAATTTACATGCACATTTACTGTTTGTGAAATGTTGTATCCCTATGTCGTTACAAACGCTTTGTCAACAGCATTTTAACAGTAACACAATATTCTATTATTTTGTTACGTGATAATTTACCCCAGAATTCCCTATTATTCCAAATTTCATTTCTTGTAAATATTTCTCCGTTGTAACTCTACAACCAATGTTCTTGCCTGTGATCTGCAATGTTGTTGCCGCTGCATTATTCTAAGGGGGTTCAGGTAGACCCCACAGACTCCATTTATCCTATCGGAAAAGAGCTTGGAAATGCGAGAATTCTCTTCAGGTCCCATTTACTCCGGAAAGCAATATGAGAATCAGTTTGCTTCCCCCGCTCACCGCCCAGAGGCCCGGTGATGTGGAAATTTTGCCTGACAGATCTGTGGGACCAGGGAGGCACACGCCTGACTAACACACAGCATTTGGGAATTGTGCCCTTGCACTAACGTGCTGGCCTGTTCCTGCCTCCGAGTCACTTGGCTCTAACTCTCTCCCCGCCACGACCGCCACCACCAACTTGGTGGGTTTAAGTCAGGACGGTGAAGCTGAACACCTTGAAAACATTATCTCAACAGTTCTGACAAAACTTTGCCTGGCTAGAAAACAGTACTTTCGATTTGTCCCAAGCATCTTTCTTTGCTGAAACTTCAAACCTCGGGCCCGCTTTTCGCCACGCTGCAGGGTCCCTCCTGTCCCCCCACCTCCCTGCCCTCTCCTGTATGGGGGGCGGGAAGCCTAGCGGTGCTCCACACTTGGGGCCCACCGCACACCCTCGTCCCCTCGGCCAGTCAGCCTGCAGGCGGGGTTCGGCCTTGGGGCGATGTTGGCGGTTTGTCTGGCCTGCCCCGACGTGGGTCCCAGCACGGCGGGGGGAAGGTGGCTGCTGCCACGGAGCTCCAACCCCAGGGCCTGCACCTATCTGCCTGAAAGAGGCGGCCTGTGGGCTCCCGGGGAAGAACAGAAGCGCGAGGAGGACAGGAGGACCCAGCCAAGAGCATTTGTTATCAGAACTCAGCAGCTCCAAGATGGACAAGGCAGGGAGAAAAGCCCGGAAGGCAGCACGTGGAGAAGGGACCAGAGCTTCGGAGGGGAGGAGGACGAGCGATTTTTCTCTCACGTGCATTTTTCTGCATTTTCCAAATTTTCTACGATGAGCCTGTATTGCTTTTATAATTAGAAAAAGATCATATTCTTGATACAACTATGTTTCTTATCAGTCAAATAGATATGATTCATTACAAGAATAAAATAAATGACCGTTAATACTTACAAGTTGACATAAACAAGAATAATCAGATAGTGCCAGGAAAAGTATTCAGATGATAACGGTAGTTCACGTGTCTCTAGCAATTTACCCTTTAGAGAAACACTTTCAAACAGAAAATGAAACTGGGCAGCTTCGCTATGCAAATATTGGCTCCTGCTGTGCTATTTCTGCAACGACCCTTGTTGTCGGGCTGGGACGGACCCTTTCTTCTCGTTTTCAATCTGGGGGAACTGAGGCTCGGAGGATCAAAGTTAAGAGCCCAGGACTTGAACGGAGGCTTGGCGTCTCCCACGTCCCCACGGCAGCTTCCAGACCCCCGATCCTGGCACCTTCCTACAGGGGAGATGTTTCCCCAGGGGATCTAGCGTGTTTCCTGGCATCCAGTTTGTTTTCCCCTGTTACTGGAGGTGGTGCCTGCGGCCAACGTGGAATTGCAATTAGTGAGGATTTTGTTGGGTTTGCTTTAAAATAATGCTATTTGCACAGGGTCCGGGTATTACTTGAGAGGTGTGCTCCGGAGTGCTGGTGGCACTGGGAAGGGGCCCGGCTGAGGTGTGACGGTGCCTCAGCCAGGCAGAGACTATATTTTTCATGTGGTGACATTAGAGCCAAATGCCACACTTCTCCTGGGAGAGGAACGACACGCAGAGGACGCTGACTCACGTGCACGTGTGTGGAATTTCTGGGGCTCGGGTCCACCCTGGAAGAACTCTGTTGCCTGGGTGGGGACGCGCCTTTCCTTATTTTATTTTAAAGTGGGCCATTTCCAGCCTCTCCATAACAACAGATGGGAACAAGTCTACGAATCGAATGTATCCGATCTTAAGTCTCTTTCTTTAAAAGTGAGTTAAAAGGTGAAGCAGCATGCGGTTTTTCTACTCTAAAAGGCGATTTCTAAATTTGGATTTTGAAAAAAAAAAAAAATCGTCCTCCAGTTTGAAATTCCTATGGCTCGCAGAATGCAAGTAAGATACACCACTCTTTGGGCTAAAATCATCTTAACTGGTTTAAAATAAATCAGAACAAAATGATGTGAGCCGAACATATGTCTCCCATCACTCGTTTTCTGCAGGCAGAAGTGGGGTGAGCTGCCGCAGGCTGCGTTCCCTTCGGAAAGCGAGCGGACAGGGCCGACTCGGCGTTTAGGGATTTTTAACAGGGAATCGCCAGGGTCTCCTGGAGCAAACAGACGTAGGCTTTTTATATTCCAAAGACATCCTCGGTTTTAGACAAGGATTACATTATAAAATAAATAATTACAGAACGTAAGTCACAGGTAAGACGAATAGATTGAAGACATTCCTTTCCTCCGGGAAGAATATCTGGTGCTTGAGATTTTTAAGCTGTAAGTAGACGGGCACATTCTCAAAAGACGCTTTATTTCGCTTCCCTTCCTCACACAGGGCAAACCATCTCTGCATTCTAAAATAAAAACACATGCCCCTTTAATTTAGCAAAGAGAAGCCGAAGCACAGAATCTCCGCACAGATAATTTTTAAATTAGAGAGAGAGAGAGAGAGAGAGAGAGAGAGAGAGAGACTGTTAACTGTGTTTTATACCTTTCGGGGGGTTACCTTCTCCACGTGTTAGTGATTTAACTGTCAGATCACAAACAAACAGCGAACCCCGTCTCCGAGACACTAGGATTCTAACCTAGGAGGGGAGGTTTTAATTGTAACTGCGAAATAGCAAATGCTGACAGAAGTCCGGCTTTCAAAGTGTCCCCAGACAGGGCTGGGACATGACTAATTTATTTTCTCTTCTCCATCTAGCGAGGCACGGGATTAAAATATTTGTCTGTTCGCTTTGAAACACGCAGCGAAGGCACCAGCTTCAAGACCACTCCTTAATTTCCACAGTTTTGGCTTTTCATTGTTTCCAGAAACCTACGGCCCTTGCATGCTGAACACCCTCAAAATCTGATGGGATCTTTAAGCGGGGAGCCTGGCACACACCGCGCTCTCTAGCCAGCCGAAAACCCTTCCTCGCGCTGCACAAACAGCCTCGGTGACGAGCTGTTCCAACGCCCCTTTCCCGTGAAATCGTGCAGGCCTGAGACCAGCTTCCAGAAGGAGTCTGCCTCTGGCCAGCGTGGCCGATGGAAACCAGAGCCTGGTAAGCGTGCCCCAACCAGACGGCCAGGTAGGCCGGCAGTGGGCAGCAGGGGGTTAATCGGGCGGTGGGGAGGGGTCCAGACAAAAGGCCACAGGCAGGGATGGGAAGCCGGCAGGGGAATTCGGGCTGGGCCCTGCAGCGCGACCAGGCTCAGACACAGGGAGCTCTGTCTGCCTGCCCGCTGCCCAGCACTGTGACTAACTGCCCCACTATTGTACCCTGAAGCCGGCCCTTTGTACCGTCCCCCTGGCGTCTGGGAGCACGGGGGAGAACCCTTTGCAGCAGTCCCCCCTCGTCCCGGAAACTTGCGGCCTCAACACCCCTTCTTTCAGCGCCCAGGGCTGCCGGGGGCCTGACTCACTAGTGGAAGCATCTTTTACCCTCGCCGAGAAGACCCACCAGCAAAAAGGAAGCAGAGAAAGCAGTCTCCCCAACTCTGGGGAGGCCGTGGGGACCTGCTAAGCCTGCACTGCCCAGGACAGTCCCTCTCCACGGCCACAAGAGGCCACTGAGCCTTTCAAATGCGAAGAGTCCCTTCAGAATGGAGATGTATGTGCAAAATACGCTCCGGATTTCAAAGATGTGATGTGAAAAATATGCAAAACATCTCATCGATAGTTTCATATTAATTACACACTGAAATGTACTGTCTTGGAAGCAGATTAAACAAATGGTATTATTATAGTGAATTTCACTGGTCTATTTTTACTTTTTTAAAAATGTGGCTGCTAACACATTAAATTACAGCTGTGGCTGCGTTTGCGGCTCACGCTGCTTCCACTGGACGGAGCTGCGCTAGGCCGTGGGTACGGGGTGGGGGAGGCGGCCGTGAGCGGGCCTAGCAGCCGGCTTTCTACCAGGAGACAATGGCTGGAAGATGTCACCGTGTCTCCCGCCCAGTGACAACCTCATGCAAGGGCCAGAAACCCTAGGCCCTTCCAGCCATACGTGACCCCAGGCTTGTGCTCACCTGTCTTGAGAATTGGGTCTTGCACACTCACGTGTCTACGACTCCTTTGGAAAACACATGTGTGTGCATAAAAACACGCACACACGCACAAGGGCCCTGTGTCGGCCTGTCCTGGATGGCCTTGGAAGAAACTAGATTCACGGGGCACCCAGATGGCCCCCAAAAGACCCCTGGAGCCAGATCTGACCTCTTGTCCTGGGACAGACTGGACCAGCCCAGGGCCCCACTGTGACTTTAGTGAATCCAAATACTTTTGCTTTCATGGCCTCTCCCTCCATAGGTATTAAAAATATTTTGTGACAGCACTGGAATAAAGATGAATATAATCCAGGCTGAATTCATCGTCACACATTATTACTGTAGTCATTTTTTCTTATTTGAAAAGACATTAAAATTTAAACATTCGTGGGCCCTGGGCACTGTGCCTCCCTGGACCGTTGTTCTGGGCGCCTGCGCCCATTGCCCACTCCGCCTTCTTACCCAGAGAGAGGTGCCCAGCCCCGCTCCTGTATTCAGGGCTTGCTTGATATCCCCCCTCCCCCTACTCCAGGGTGACCAGATGCCCTTCTTCCCTATAGACTTTATTCCTTAAGTCTTGCCTGAATGTGGTGTGTGCAACCACCAGATGCCACAAAACTTTCCATATTATTTTTAAAACACCTAGACCAGTCATGAGAAAGGCCCAGGATCCCAGCATGAGAAGGCTCCAAGTCCACGAGAACCAAGACTCCCTGAGCACAGAGCTGGGGTCCCCTTCCGGGTGCCCAGGCACCCCATTCAACACTAAGAGACAAGCTCTCCAAGCATGCACGAAGGTGACGCAAGAGGCGACTGTTGCGGTGCCCGGTAGCCCACCGCATGGCAGCTCTGTGTGGGCCCTGGGCACCCCCCACCGTGAGCCCTCACACCCCTGGACGGGACCCAGCTTCTGGGTGGGGGTGCAGAGGGGGTCTGGCTTTCCAGCATGTCCCAGAAAGAGGCCTCAGATGCTCTGGCCAGTCCCCTCCGTGGTGCCACTGTGCCAGGCCTGGGCCCAGACGCTGCTGGGGAAAACCCCGGTGCAGGAGATGGTTAAAATTCTGCATCCTTTTGCATCCGCCTCCAGAGGAAGCGCTGCTTTTTTTTTTTTTTTCTCCCAAGCAGGAGGAGTTAAAAAAAAAAAAGCTGAGAGCAGCAATTTGCAGGCCTTGGGATGTTTTTCTCCTTGACAGCCTGGGGCCCCGCCTCGCTGGGCCTTCCTCCACCCCGAGACCACAGCTTTGGGTCTGCGCTGCTGCCGGGGCCCCATGCACGCCGAACCGCTGTCCGGGAGGGAGGGATGGAGGGAGGCTGGCTGGGAGGTAGCAGCCAGGCCTGGCACTGCCCTGCTTTGTGCCTGCTTCTCTCAGCCGCCACTCTCCCCCTGCAGGCCCGCCCGGCCCACCCTGCACCCACCGGGGTGCCCTCACCTTCTGGGCCCGGCCTCCTGGCTGGGGTGCTGCTCACGCCCAGGGCGCCCGGCCACGTCCTCGGCACAGCCACTGCTCACCCCGCCCTGCCGCCAGCGCAGCGGCGAGCCTGGCACCGTGCCAGGCTGCCTGGGAGCCCAGCCCGGGCGGGGTGGGGGGCGGGGAGGGGTGCGCCGGTGCCAGCAGAGGGAGAGGCCCAGATGCCCAGCCAGCCCGAGGGGCCTCCCCCTGCCTCCCGTCTCCTGAGTCCCATAAAGGCACAGACAACACGGGCGCTTTAGTCAAAACAGTCATGTGCAGGAGCCGGCACACCAACAAAAGCCCTTATTTATTTATTTAGTTCACACACTCAGATAAGGAGCTGCCTTTGTGAGCATAATTTCACACACACCAGAAAGGGGGCGATGCCACGGTGCTCCCGCCGCCAGCGCCCCGGACAGGCGCCCGGCTGCGGGAATAACTGCGCGGCCGGCCCGGGCATTTCCATATTTAAATTGGGCAGCAGCTTATGATTAATTAAGAAGGAAAAAGGCAAAAAGGAAAAAAGGCAGTGGGGGTGGGGAGCTGGACATTCTGGG